CCCCCCCCCACGGGGAGGATTAAGGTAGAAAATGGGTGGAAGGATATGGGGCAGGGAGGAGACATGGGGATACTGCCTTACCATCTCTAGACATGCCAACGGAGAGACACTTCTTGAAGCGACACTGCTGGCATCGGTTGCGATTGATACGAACAATGGAGCAATTCTCATTTTTCAGACACCGTTTGTACTGGATATTCTGTTGGATGCTCCGACGGAAAAAGCCCTGGAAGGCAGGGTGACTAGTGAACCTCTTCATCTAAGCTGAGCCCCTGCATCATGGGGGGAAGGCATCACCTGCCTGGGTCCTCAACCCCAACCCGCCTCACCTTGCAGCCCTCACAGGCATGCACGCCATAGTGGAAGCCTGAGGCCACGTCCCCACACACTTTACACAGTAGCACCATGCCATTCAGCTCTGTGGGAGGAGACAGGCAGAGGGTAAGCAGAGAGGCCTGAGTGACCTGAGATATGGAGGCTTTCCAGGCTGAAGATTGTCAGAGGGAAGGGCTAAGGAGGAGGCTGCTGTGTCTAGGAACACTCAGGTGACTGGACTGGACGGAAACCAGTACAACTCTAAAGAGAAATCCCAAAGATCAGGGCATAGACCTGAAGGTAACTGTCAGATGGAAACCAACTATCAACTGAATCCTGGCTCAATTCCTTTCCCCTAAATCCACAGGGCATTTACTCACTGGTAATGTTGCTGGTGCCTTTGCTGGGAGACACTCGGCTGCTGTCCTCCATGGCCACTTGTAGACTTCTTGGGGGGCTCCCGTTATAGAAGGAGGAGGAGGAGGAGGAGGAGGAGGAGGAGGATGACGATGATGCTGAAGAAGGGGAGCTATCATCACTGAGGCTGGGTGGTACACTTCCAAAAGAGCGGGCAGGGTCCTGGGTGAGGGAGCCGGTGGGAGACGGTGGGAAGTATGCCGGACAACCTTGAGTCAGGGACTGGAAGCTGCCATTGGAGCTGTCACTATAGAGGGACTCCGGGCTGGTCCGGCTGGGAGAGGAGCCACTAGAGCCAATGTAGGTGATAACGCCACCTAGTAAGACAATGCAAGAGAAGGGTATCAACCATCATGTGTGGTTCAAGGGCACCACCTGCTCATCACCAAAATACTGCTCTTAGAAGTTATGCATGTAGAACCCCTAAGCTTGGGTAATAAACAATTCTCCCACACACACTAGGTAGGCATGGTCAACCTTAAGAAATTCTCCATCACCTACTACATGATAGTCAACCTAGTCACAAGAAACACCCATAGCCATTTATTTGCACAATACATTCAAATTCTGCTTTGGGTGAGGCATAACCCCCACTGGGCATCTCATACATGGGAACCCCTGCCCTAGATATTTTCCTGAGGGAATACTGACTGCAGCTAGTAACTTAGTTATAAGGGGTACACTTGGGGCTGGGATGGGCAGCTGACAGCCATTCACAAATAAACCTGCTGCCAATTATACACTAACACCTATCCAGTGATGGACCATGAAGAGTGGCTAGCCAAGAGGTCATACTACTGTAAGACAGTCACCTTCCCTTCAAACCCAAAGACATTTTCTCATAGAGTAAGGAACAGCCTGGCGCCCCTGGCCTGCAAGCGATGAGTCACAATGACTCTGAGTCCAAGAAAGACTTAGAGATATGAGCTGCAGAAGATACAAGAGAGGAATAAATTGTCCAGCCTGGGGATTTAGGCATTCCCCCTTTCGGGTCTCAGCCAGATGATGACTTTGGCTCTATAGCTCCACTCAGGGACTTTGTCCCTATGGCTACACCGCCAACCAGGTGGTTCTGCAGGTATTTGTTCTGTGGTATTTGCAGAAGAGAAAAGTGACTTGCTTACCAAACCTCTGCCAAGCACTTTGCTTGGCCTGCCATGGGTGGAGTGGGGAAAGGGAGGATCCCCAGACACGTGTGTTCGCTGACACATGCCATGCCACCGTGTCTGCAGAAGCACATGTCTCACTCACCCACTGACACACACTAAACTAGGCAGGGCAACCTTAAAATAGCTCAAGGTTGGTCAGGGTGAACCCAGCTGCCCATAAAATAGTTGCAGAATGGCTAAGCGGCTACTGTTTCACGGCTGGGGTGGGGGATGGGATATTTATGTGGACCTAAATGAACTTGACCTAGTTTATCCATCCTGAAAGAGGGCATGAGAAAGTCACTCAAAAAGTCTTCCAACTTTGAAGTGAGAGGCACTGCTCAAAGACCCCAGTTCTAAATCTAGATCTGTATTACTACCAATTTGCTTTCCAACCTAGAGGAAACCAACACTTCCTCTTTTGGTCTGTTTTCCTTTCTGTGAGAAACACACACACACACACCAACAAAAAAACAGTATGACGGAAAGAAGTAGGCTTTCTGCTCTGATCCTCAGAAACTCATGTTTTGGCGGAGAAGACATTCATGGCAGGCAATGAGGGTACTTGGGGAACAGTTAAAGACTTTGGGAACGAACATGGGAAAAAGCTGAGTCTAAATGCAGTAAAATGATGTTAGTGCGATTAAAATAAAGGGGAGTAAGTATGAACTGGTGTGAGGTCTCGTTGGGACGCATAAACTTGAGGCCAGAACAAGTCACAGGGGTGGCCCCGTCTTAGTCAAGTCTCGGCCATGGAGGGTAAGAGGACCAGGCAGTTGGAGAGGAAAAGAAAGCAGGCGGGGGCGGTGAGTCAGCCCAGCTTCACCCAGATCTAGGTGGAGAAGGGCGGGGCGGGAGCCTGGCCCTCAGCTGGCCTCACGTCCCTGCTCCACGTGTGCCCCTCGCACGTGGCTCCCCAACGAGGAACCCCGGAACTCGAAGCACCGCCTTCTCTTCCCTTCTGTCGCAAGCAGAAACCCGCCCTCACCCCGCCCCTTCGGCGGCGTCCTGGGTGGAAGGCTGGACCCTAAAACCAAGCTGGGCCGGGACAACTGAGGGGAGGAGAGAAGGGAACACGCGTTGCTCAGGCAACTTGAGGGGCGGAGCTCATTATGTAACGAGGCCGGGAAGCAATGACCAATGGGATGGTGGCCACGGCTTCTACTGAATGAAAACAAATGCAGCACGTGGGCCCGGCTCTGCAGCCATGTGAGCCCTCCCCAGGTTCAGGCGCTGTGGGTGCCCTGCCTGGAGATGAGCCCCAAGCACCCGACTCCTCAGGTGGAGTTCCCTACTGCCACTGAGGATTCCCCTGTAAGAGCTGACCCGTTCCTTCACACCCTCCAGTCCCACAGCTTCCCAGACTCCCTGGAAGTGGGCTAGAACTTGAAAGTGAAAAGCGACAGGCATTCTACAGCAGCAAGGGATGGACAGATGGGGAGGTTCCCCGACACTGCTTCAAAGCGGTCCGTCTCCCTAAACTCTTCCACTTGCCACGAGTATCCACCCTCTGTTTCATCTGCCCAAGATTCAAGTTCCTGCGGCTCAGGGGAATTCGGAGGGGTAGTTGTGATGATTAGGCTTTAGGCGCATTACCAGCCAGAGTAACCCGCCCTGGAGATCGTACCTAATGGCTCTCAGCACAGTAGCAAACACCGGCCAGAGGGAATCCCCAATCCTTTACAATTACAAAGTTCCTCTCCTAAGCCGTGGATGGAAATGGAGACAGTGACAGAGCAAGGATAATGATAAGAATCTTAGTACCTGTGTTGTTGTTGGAGTCCAGAGTCGTCATGTCTTCACCGGCTGAGAGCGGTCATTCAAACTGGACCTTGACACAAACTGGAGGTTGCAGTGGTCTCTCTCGCCCCCTGGGCAATGGCTGAGGGAGACAAGTGGACCCCGCGGCTGAAAATCAGGATTCCAGGCACCAAGCAATAAGGTTTTGGGGTGGCCGGGCTGCAGCCCTGCAGAAGGGTAGGACGCTGAGGCAACCGAGGTCTGATTTGCATGGGAAGAGCAGAGAGAATGTGTGTAAGGAATCAGCCTGCAGCAGATCTGGCTGTAAGGTAGCAAGGAGGGTAGGGTCTCTGCAGTGCACCGATGCCACTCCTGAAGGTTCCGCAACACTGCAGGGTAGCAAATCTGGAGCTTCGGGTGCAAAAGTCCCAAAAGGAGAGAAGCTGCAACCAGGAAGTAAGTAGGTGGTGGAGAAACGAGGCACCCAGACACACAGAGAGACGTGTGCCCTGCTACGTTCCCTCAGCAGTAATATTTCACTCTGCCAATCTCAACCGCCTTTTGCCCGAGCCTTTCCCTGGGACAGAGGACTCTGCGCAGGCGCCAGCAGCCCAGGGTTCCCGGGCCGCACGCGGCACTGGAGCAGGTACCATGTGATTCCAGGGAGCGCCTCGTGCCCCAGTGACACACTTTTCCAGCAGCCGGCACGTTGAGCTCTATGCGGCTGCGCACCGCCAAGATTGTTGGGATTTGTAGTCTACTGACAAAGTAGGCGGAGTGCGTCTATTCCCCCCTTTCTGCTTTGCAAAAGTGCTTGTTGGCAGCAGGGAGGAGCTGAAAGTGGACTAGGGTGGAGTTTTCTGAAGAGTCAGGGTGGCGTGTTTGGAAAGCCTTGTATGGCAAGGGCATGTGAATTCCTGGGGAGGGCCTGGCAAGCTTTACTGCTCTATGGGAGATCAAAGCTAAAAGGCTCTTTTTGCAAACCTAGCAAACAGCAAACGTGAGACCTTCACGTGATTGCAGAACTGACCTCGCCCTGAGGTTATTGGTAAGGGGGGGGGGAGTGGGGAACACGGGACACGGGACAACAAGCTGAGGAAGGAGATTTCCCTGGAGTCAAGAATTTAAGCTGGTTTTTGCTATGGTGACAAGGCGGGATAGACATTGTGAGTGCCTTTCACTTACACCACCCCCCCCAGGAAGAACACCCGCGGGAAAGGAATGACACAGATAGAGTGGGGATATCCCTAGGGACTCCCTGTTTGCTTATACGACACCACACTGCCCACTCAACTGACTTTGGGGTGAGTCATTTCCCTTTATCTGGGAAATAAAAAGGACAACAGAGGGATACTTCATGGTGAAAGTGCTTTGAGGTCCTAATGTGAAGGGGTCTGCTCGTGCGTGCGGTACATACTTCGTACTTCGTACTTCATGGGGGCAGGAGTTCACAGATTACCAGAGAGGACACGAAGATCATTTAATCCCTCCTCCCATTGGCAGTGTGTGCTGGCTCGTGCCTGCAATCACCGTACTTGAGAGGCTGAGGCAAAAGGACTGCCATGAATTTGAGGCTGGCCAGAGCTACATGGCAGGACCCTATTGGGGAGGGTTTGGGGGGCAGTCATCTTCCTTCCTCTTAATGAAGAAGGAAAAGAAGGGGCTGGCCCAAGGCCAAGCATACACTGCTGCTTTTTTTAAAAAATAATTTATTTATTCTTATTTTATGAACATTGGTATTTTGTCTGCATGTATGTCTGTGTGAGGGTGTCAGATCTTGGAGTT